GACTTGATAACCTATTATTACGACCCCGCCACTAGATCTACTACTACTAAAATTACATTCTATGTATTTAGTTGTAGAACTACTAAAGCGAAGCCTTTAGACTCTAAATTTGTCCTCAATAATTCAATTCTTTTCCGAAATCTTCTCTACCCTTACCCACAAGAAGGATATCATCCGAGAAAAAGATAAACCAAGATACATTCTTCTATAAATGCCCAACAAGAGCATCCATAACTTAAGCAAAAAGATACGAGCTTAAAGCTAATCCCTAATATAATCAAACTGAAATAGGAAAATACTTAATCCCTGATGCAACTCATAACTAAAGCAAATATTTGGGACACTTGCAAATAAAAATTAAAAGAAAAACATGAAAGAAAAAAATGAATGCCTTAGAAAAAATTGATATATGACCAATTACCGAATTACCAGAAAGAAGTCAGTAGGATGAAATGAATTTTCATGGTGAGATAAAATGTTGATGAGAGCATAGATGATATAAAACATGATTAGTAACAAAATGATATACTCAATTGTATGAGATTGATTATTAAGAAATTTCTGCTTATGTTGTAAAAATGACTATCATCTACATTCTGATATCCCTAACAACAAGTTACGAGTTTCTTATACAACAATGTGATGTAAAAAAATGCTTTCTTACATTTTGATGTTGAAGAAGAGATCTTTATGGATCTACCATTAAAATTTGATAGTTATTCTAATAAGAATTAGATATTCAGATTGAAAAAAGGTCATGTATGGATTGAAAAAGGTTATTAAGAGTTGTTTGATAGATTTTGAAAAGGCTGCAAATAGAGTTTGTGAGACTATACTTTCTACATAAAACACACTTGATTGTAAAATCTCAATTTTTAGTATGTATATTGAAAATATGATTGTTACAAGAGTTGACATTCAAGATAAATAAACTCTTAAGAAAAGGACTTGCTGAAGAATTTGTAAGCAAAGAGTTATAAAAACTCAAATACTTTGGAATAGAAGTGACTCATTTTTTCTCTCCTAATAGTAATATGTTATGGAAAGCGACCTACATGACAGAGTGCAGGCCGTGTGAAACTCTAACCGAATCAGGACAAAAATTGGACCTTGATGAAGGAGTAGATGTAGATATGATACGATATTAAAATTTAGTGGAAAAATTAATTTACTTATCTCACATTTGTCCTGACATCACATTTACAGTAAATCTAGCTAGTTAATTCATGCACAAACCTAAAAAGTCTCACCTTAAATATTCCAAATCAAGCTCAGTAAAATGAATTTTATACGAAATACATGATTCCCTCCAAGTTGAAGGATATAAATATGCAAACTATGTCGGATCGCCAGTGGATAGATGGTCTACTTCAAGGTATTGTACATTCTTCAAAGAAAATCTCATAACTTGAAGAAGCAAGAAACATCCTGTGGTTTTAAGACAAATGCTGAATTTGAGTTTAGAACTATAGCGTTGGGGATTTGTGAGCTTCTATGGGTTATAATTATATTAAAGAATTTAAAAATAAAGTGGAAAGAGCCTACAAATTTATATTTAGATAACAAATCGATTATCAATATTGCACACAATTTTGTACAATATGATTGTACTAAACATGTTGAGGCTGATAGACACTTTATAGAAGAGAAATTGGAAAGTGACCTAATTGTTACTCTATAATGTGTTTACATGAATTCAACTGGTTGACATATTAACCAAAGGATTCTGCAACTTAATATTTAAAATATCATAAGCAAACTTTAAATGGTAGATCCCTATCATCCAACTTGAAATGTATTGTCGAATTTTTACTCTAATCATAGTAAAGAATTGAAGACAGATCAATGCTATGTATCATTAGATTAAGGCGTATGGATCGAGGCTTTGTATTGTTAGATCAATGCACACAAATCAAGGCTCTGTACTATTAGATTAAGGCGCACGATTCTCGGATTGTAATCCGTGTGCTTTCCTATAGGATTGCCGGCCCCTAATTAATTTTTCCTCCTTTTTTTGATTTATTACTGTCTCTGGGAGTTACATATATATATATATAT